CTTATCAGTCACTAACCCTCAAAGTCCCACAGAGCATTTTGTTAGAGCAGTTGTGTAAACTTTCTGTGCAGAGACGCAACCAACAAGCAAGGACACACGTGAGAGTGGGCAAGCCATGTAAATGTGAACTGTGTCTGCAAGAGATTTATGCAAACTCCCTCCTCACACGCACAGAAACCTGCAGGACCTGGCTGGGTGTGGATTCATTTTACAGAGACAGAAGGGGGCATGTTTCCCCCCAGTCTGCAGCCCCCCTCTCCCGGGACAAGACGAACCAGTTTCCTTCTCTCGCCTTCTTTCAGAAACACGCACACAGGCACAGGCCTTGAATCATTCATTAACAGGTCTGACCCCTCCACACCCACCAGAGCTCACCAAAACCCCACAGGTCTCTCATGTCACCTGTTAGCCCCTCCCTCCTCCACCTAGGAATTACACAAGCATTGCTTTTCCATCACCAACACCTTACTCCCGTCCTCAATGATCAATACCAGTTCCCTTTTCCTCGTTACCTAAGAAGGAAAACGCCCAATAAAGTCAAGTGAGAGCGGATTATACACCTGTTGCTCCAAGAGCCCGGGACTAGTTTCCTTCTCCTAATTCTGGGTCTGGAATCAAATGAAGTCTATAAACACTTCTAAACCTCCTTACAATAGAAAATGTGAGGCTGTTGACAGCTTTTTAACAAGGTGTGAGGAATATTGATCTCACCTGGCAGGGCTCGTGGGGAGGGGGAGGGCAGGGGGGATTAAAGACTCCAAATGACAAACATGCGAGAAACTTCTGAAAGTTGACAACGGAAATCTGGGCTCGATTTACATTTTTATGGCTCTAAAGTCCACAGAGCTAAGTTCACAAGAAAGATATTAAACTTTAACCTTTCAACAGGTGTGTGGTTCAAAAATGAGATATCACTTTAACACATCTTTAACTACATCGACAGAAGATGCGGGAAAAAGGTTTTATTTCTTTTCCTCTTAAGTTGTTTACTCTGAGGTCAGCGGTGTCATCCTAGCTAGTTAGGGAGGAAGGGAGGTACCTGTGCCTCGCCGGTGACGCTGTCTCTGTTCAGTTCCCCGATGTAGTACTGCTCCATCCACCGCCGGGCGTTTTCCGAGTGCCGGTGTGGGGGTCCCTCCATCACCTGGCGCACGTCCTTGCCGGAGCGGCTGCGTATTAGTGCCTCCCCACCCGGGTGCATCCGCAAGAAGGCTGTCACGTCGTAAACCCTGGTCCCCATCAGCACCCAGCAGGACTCCTTGGTGCAGTGGCGGGCTACCTCCCTCTCCGTGAAGAAGCGGGGGGACGTGGACGGAGACATCCTGTTAGTGGAGGTGTAAAAAGGTCCACCTGAACTGAAAACTGAGAGCAAGTCCTCCTCAGTGGACAGTCGACCTGACTAATGAACTGACTTTCGTAATGACACCGGAGGCTTTAAACTCCTGCCGTTCGCGAGACACGGACGAGAGAGGCGGGGTTTGTGAGGCGTTCACCAAAGTCGTAGTTAGTAGGTCTTAAACTGACTTACAATCACATCTGCATATACGCGCATCGAAAACTTCTAAATAATATGCTACGGTGATTACTTATTCTTTTTTTTATGATTGCAGATTTTTAATATTTTATTTTAATATTTTATAACAGTAGCCAGAAAAGCCGTTATATTTACACAATAGCAAAAGCAAACCCTCCCCGAATACAGCATAATTCTCCTAAGCACCTGTTGCTGTTAAACC